CTATTTTGACCCAAAAATCCAAATTTGAAGAAAATTGCCGACCCGAAGGTGTACTGTAACCTTAAAAGATCTAGGTTTTACCCTTGCCAGGGACATGGTATTGTGTCAATCAGCCACACAACCCAATTTGCACACATTGGTGTAGTAGCAATACACAAACTGAAGTCTATCCATGCAACAAAAACCAGAGTTTCAATACAGATGTAATTTAGGTCTAGCTAGCACTGTTGAGAAATTGCTCTGTTGCTCTTACTGATTTGGGTTGCTTTATAATGAACTTCAAATAGTCTTTGTCACTGATACAATTGCCAAGCGACTCTCCAAAACTCCTGCAAAACAAGGAAATACTTAATTATTAATGAGTTGTTACAAGTATAATTATGGCAAATGAATACAATAACATAAGGTTTGGCTTTTGAAGAAACACATGAGGTTGTAAATGGATGCACAAGCGTTATGTAAAATATAGCATAGTTAGGGTGATGCTATGGTTATGGCTCATTCAAATTGAAAGCTTGTTTATATGTGGCTAAATGTAATTTAGGCTAAGTTAAATGTAGTTTTATTAATAACAATATTGCTGGTCAGCAGTCTCCCTCAGGGTGGTGTACGAGGTGGCCGGGGGATTTGTGCAGGGGCACCTTGATTTTACAGCTTGGCTTTGGATGTTAAGTCATTTGGTGTGTTTTTCGCTGTTGGACAGATCTCCTGCAGCCCTCCCAACCCCCTTGTCTTAATTTGTTTCCACTGTTTTGTCAGTGTGATGGTGCCTGGAGGTTGCCTCTCACTGAGTTGTCAAGGATACCCTATGCATGCAGTTCAGTTTGCTTTCGGGCCCCTGACCATCCTTTCAGGTACCATTTCCCAAGCTCATCTATTGTTGATGAGTTAAATGTTTCTATTGATTTATTTGTCCGTTTTTCTTTTTAATCAACAATGATTTAGATAAACATATACATGCAAAAACTAACGATAGACAAATCCGACGTTTCAGCGACATCTTGGCGCCATTGTCAAGGGAAACTAATTAAACTAATTAAATATGCAGTTTGCGCTAAAGTCTTTGTCTAACTTATGCAAATTAGAAACTCTGAACTCTTAGTTACTCTTGAAATCGCATATTTAANATCGTTAGTTTTTGCCTGTATATGTTTTTCTTTTTCCGAGACAAACGTGTGAGGAATCAAATCGAGGGGTTTCATATGATGCAACTCTCTGGGCATGCAATATGTGCAAAATCATGTATTTGAAGCCATTTTCTTGCATTGCACACCAATTTTTGGCTGTTAACATGAGTAAGAAGTACAAAAAACTAATAGGTGTTACAGTGGCTGTCAGTAGCATTTTTCATACCTGCACATAATTATTACATATCTTTGCTTTCAGCTTATGATGCTAGCCAACAGTGAATATACCAGACAGAGTACCATATCTAGTAAATATTAGTATAAATCTTCTAGCGTTCTATCTTGAATGCTGTCCTCTAATTGATTGTGCGACTCACTGTCTATTCTATCTATTCTGTTGTAGACAGTGAGTAGTGTACAAGTGTGACTACCACGTGATAAAAATCTGGAGCTCATAATCTAATAGTTAAATAGATCAGATCCAAACAAGCAGTAGTTAGAGGCCATAAAATGTTATTTGAGGGCAGGCTTATTTTAAAATTTATGTGATCAAAGCTGTTTAACAAGAATTTTGAAGAGGTGATCTTACTTCAGAGCCCTTTTCAGTCCATCTGTCACAGCTTCTTTTCTTGCCTTCTCAAGTGACAAAGCTTTTGATTTCATTCCCTCTGACACTCCATAACCAATGTCCTCATGAAACACACCATCCTGCAACATTCAAGTAGATTGTGCTGAAGGCAAACTTCCTCCTAGCCTGCAAATGCAGACATATTTCCAGCTGTTGCTTGTCTCTGCTGAAAGTAACATTTTCTTTTTCAGTGGAGACATGGAAATATGACTGCATTTACAAGCTAGCTTTGCTCTTTCATCCCCAATGACTACCTACTACAGTGTACTACTGCTCAAGGGCGTAGGCAAG